GCTGGAACAGAGAATTCTTGGTTCAAGGTGAGGCCTGAGGGTGTGAAGCAAAAGGGAGGAGAGCAAGGGGGGATTAGCTTTGGGGAGGAAGTGTGTGAGGGGGACACAATGAGGAAGTCCTGAGCAGGAAAGGGGGGTATAGCATCCAGTGTCAAAGTGGCTTAGGCTCTCAGAAATCAGGCTGGTGGGGACACTCAGGGTGTGGGTAGGGGTTGGATTGTGGGTATGGGTTAGGTCGTGTTTCTTGACCTAGGTGCCAGGTACATATGAGCTTTTCCTTTGTGTTAATTCCTCAAGGTGTACATTTATGGTACGTGCATTTTTCTTAGGCACATTACACCAGTGCTACTCAACATGTTAGCGTGTGACGAGACAGCAGCTTGATCAAAGTAGAATCAAGGCTCTCAGGGTCGTGGGATCGAGCCCCATGTTGGGCTCCATGCTGGGTGTGGACCCTGCTTGGGATTCTCTCTCTCCCTCTCCTTCTGCTGGTGCCACCCCCGGGAGGCGCATTCGCTTTCTGTCGCTCTCTCTCTCTCAAAAAAAAAAAAAAAAATAGAAATCAAGGTATCTCCACTGAGGAGGTCTTGCTGTAAAGACAGTTGGTCCAGTGTCACAGTTAATTTATAAGCTCCTTCTTTCTGCAGACCTGCCACAAACGGACTTGTCAATGGCACCAGTCTGTGGACCCCACCTCAAGTAACCCCTGTTCTACTTCAACAATAAATTCAATAAATTCATGGGGGAAAAAAGACTAATGTCACTGGAGCATAGAGGGAAGGCAGAGGGAGAGGGGATGATGTTGAAGATGTGTCACAAAAGCAGAAGAAAAATGCGAGCAAGCAGAAAAAGAGGAGGGGAAGAAGAGGAGGAAGAGGGGAGGACAGTGACCCCAAGAGGCCTCAGGGTGCAGGCGGCAGAAGCAAGCCAAGGGGCTGACCCACAGAGACCAGGCTCGCACCCCTGTCTATCACAGGAAAAGAAAGTTCAGCTCTCTGCAGATAGGAACACCATCAGGGCCTTGCTTCCATAAGGGTTTTCACCCTATGGAATGAAAGAAGTAGAAGTTGATGTTAGAACTTGACTCATGGGTTCAGTCTTTCTCTCTTAAACATTTTGGGTCTTTGTTGGTGGGTTCTCTGTTGAAGAATCCATCCCAGTGCAGAAGCAGGTGATTGGGTAGGCAGCACGAGGTATGCACTGGCATTCACCTGGAGTGTCCGGTGTGACACCTTGTTAGAGTGGGGAAGAATGCAGGTGAAGGAGACCTAGGCAGAGGAGGGCAAGGATGGGAGGGAAAAGAGGAGGAAGACAGGGAGACAAACAATTAGCATCTGGCAGGGCGCCATGCAGCCTGACAGGCCCTGCATCTGGCTTATTTACCCTTGGGAGGAATACTTTTCTGACACCTTCTTGTTGAACTTGAACTGACATTTTTTTTCCTTTTCTTTTCTAAAAAAAGGAAAAAAAATTAGTGTCATCTATAATTTGAAACATAGATTTATATGCTTTATATATCAACTATTTTAAAGTAATTTTTTTCTGTCTTTCTACCGCTTTGGAGAAACAAGATAGATATGAGTCTTGTGAAATGAATACTATAGCATTGATCACGGAAAAATAGCAAGCTCATGTTAATAGATAGGAAGGCCAAAAATATTATAGATGCTGTATATTCATAAATTAATGTATATTAATATAATATATAATAATCGATATAATGTTTTTAATACAAACATACTTATATCCATAATATATATGTATTTAATACAAACAATAGAAGTAGATAAAGGATATAACCTTATAAACATAACACAGAAAGGGTTTTTTAAGGAAGAAATATAGGGCACAAAGCCATGGTTCTCAATGTGGGGTGATTTGGTCCCCTGGGGGATATTTGACAATGTTGGGAAATCTTTTTGTTTCTCACAGCTGTGAGGAAGATGCTACTGGCATCTCTAGGCTGGGATGTCGCCAAACTTCTCATGATGCACAGGACAGCACTCATGACAAAGAATTATTCAGTTCCAAATGCCAGTGTCAAGGTTGAGAAACTCTGGCATAAACCCTCTTGGAAAAGATAAACTGATTTGTCTAAATAAAAAAAAAAAGTCTCCACAACCAAAAATTTCTCAAGTTAAAAGACACAAATAAGATAAGAAAAATTGCAATAAGATAACAAAGTGTTCATTTCTGTAATAGATTTAAGAAAATGAATCATCCTATACAAAAATGGGCAAATATGAACAGGTGATCCTCAAAAGAAAAAATTCTAGTAACAAAATTTATTTAAAAAAACAGGTATCTTAGTAGAAATAGGCTAGATGATGTTATGGTAAATTGTGATCCTCCCAAATCTCAGTGGTTGATTACAGGTATCAGCAAACGACAGCCTGATGGCCAAATTGGCTCAATACCTGTTTTTTGTTTTTTGGTTTTTTTTTTTGTTTTTTAAGATTTTATCTATTTATTTGACAGAGAGAGACACAGCGACAGAGGGAACGCAAGCAGAGGGAGTGGGGGAGGGAGAAGCAGGCTTCCCGCGGAGCAGGGAGCCCAATGCGGGGCTCCATCCCAGGACCCCGGGATCATGACCTGAGCCGAAGGCAGACGCTTAACGACTGAGCCACCCAGGCGCCCCTCAATACCTGTTTTTAAAAATAAAGTTTTGGGGTACCTGGGTGGCTCAGTTGGTTAAACGTCTGCCTTCGGCTCAGATCATGATCCCGGAGTCCTGGGATTGAGTCCTGCATCGGGCTCCCTGCTCAGCAGGGAGTCTGTTTCTCCCTCTGCCCCTCACCTTGCTCATGCTCTCTCTCTCTCTCTCTGTCTCTCTCTCAAATAAATAAATAAAATCTAACAAAATAAAAATAAAAAATAAAAAAATTTTTCAATTAGCAATTATCGCGCCTCGGATAAACCTCATTGGCTAGGATACGGCCACTGTGCATTGGAACACAGCCAGGTGTATTTGCTTATATATTTGTCTCTGGCTGCTTTCATGCTACAATGGCTGTGTTGAGTAGTTGCAATAGAGACTGTATGGCCAGCAAAGCTTGAACTATTATCTGGCCCCTTTTAGAAAAAGTTTGCCAAGTGCTGGTTTAGAACAACCCAGTTGTACTTCTCCTTCATGTTACTCATTCATCACAAGTTAGATGAAGTTCCATGTCATTGACATACATGGATCCTGGGGACAGAACAACCTCTCTCTAGAACACTGTTGGTCCCATGGCAGAGAAAAAGATGATACACAGGCTCTTAAAGCTTTGGCCTTGAAGGGACCCTCACATCTCTGCCCACATTTCTTTGGCCAAGTCAAGTGACATGGCCACACTGGAGTCCACAGGGCAAGGGTATATAACCTTCAGGGATATCAGTGAGCAGTAATACAACCTATCACATGCAAAATGCAAAGAAATTCAAAGGAAAACATGGGTGGAATAGCATTCTTTTTTTTTTCTTTAAGATTTTATTTATTTATTTGACAGAGAGAGACACAGCGAGAGGGAACACAAGTAGTGGGAGTGGGAGAGAGAGAAGCAGGCTCCCCGTGGAGCAGGCACCCTGATGTGGGGCTCAATCCCAGGACCCCGAGATCATGACCTGAGCCGAAGGTAGACGCTTAACAACTGAGCCACCCAGGCACCCCTCATTCTTTGCTTTTAATCTGTCAACACAGAAAAGTCTTATTATTTCTAGTTTTGGTGGAGGTGGAGGAAAAAGAGCATCCATATGATGTTAATGGGAGACTAAACTGATAACAATTTGATCATCAGTATGTGCTAATTTTAAATATTGACTAAGCCACTTCACTTCTAGAAATAAGCCATTAAGAAATACTCTTCAGAGTGTGTCCACTTTGAGGATTGGTGCCACTCCTCCCATGGAGCAAGCTTGAATCAGACAGGAGCCCCCAGACTCAGTGGAGCAGTGGTGACTCTACTAACAGAAATGTAAACAGTAGACACTGGGACGTGGTCACGTTGAATCCACGTGGCACAGCTGAGCTGACCTGCATGTTGGCAGCACTGCACTGACTTCTTCCCACAACCACTCTCAGTCCAGCAACTCCTTGCTGTCTTGTCTGCACTGCTCCCTTCTGCTGTTTCCTTCACACAATACCCAACTCTGTGCCTGCCCCATGAGAGACCCTCCCACGCTGAGCATTTGAATGGCAGGTTCAGTCCTCAGCTTACCCTTTGGTTCAGAGGTCTGGACACATTCAGTCCTTGCCTTTTGGGCCCTTGTCATGATCTTTGAGTTTCTGGTTGAATCATCCTTCTTTTCAGTTGTTTGATCCACCACATGGAGCTTCTCTTGGATTCTGTGCCCAGGTGAGGCTGCCCAGGGGATAGTGATTTGTGAATAGTTTAAATTGGGGTCCCCGGTGAACCCCCTCCTCCCCTTGTTAGTGACTTCCTCTCTCATACCCCAGCCCTCAACCTTTCAGGAAATCCCTTACTCTTATACCTCTCTTTTATGTTATTTTCTTAGAGTTATTCCTCTTCTTTCTTGTGTGTATCTTTTTTTCTTCCCCAAACTCACAATACTTCATCCTGTTTCTCTTTCTCCCCTTCAACTTCTCTTTTTGTCTATTAATTACACATGCATCAACTAGAATGTAAGCTCCATGAGGGCAGGAGTATTTGTGATTTGCTCACTGCTGAACCCAGAGGACCTGGGACACGTACCTGACACATACCTCACACTCCATTTGCCTTTGTTGACTGAAAATATAAGGGGAGCATATTTTTGAAAATATTAAAATGATGTATTTTTTATCTTTATAAATCACAATGGCCCATGGTTCCCTAATTATTAAATCAATAAGTATCTGTGCAAGGACAGATGCTGGCTAGAACTGAGATGTCACTGCTCAGTTGAGACTGTTTTGGAGACCTTGCACAAAATCTTGAAACACAGAACTTGTTGAGAGCCCAAGGGATTTCTAAATTCCAAAAATTACCTTTACATGCTAACAATACAAGTTTGGAGGTCTAAATGTGAAGTTTTCCTGGAAGAAGAAAACTCAGCATATGACAAAGACTAAGTTTCTCTGGCTGAGGGAGATGATGGGGTTGGAAATCAGGAGGAAGAGACAAGAGGAAAAAGAGGGCAAGCGAGTAGATCTGAGTTCCCTCCTAGGTTAAACCCTGAGACTGAGAGGCACTGGAAACAAGCAGGAAAATTTGGAACATGTCCAAAGCAGTGATGCTCATGTCATGATGCATGTTGAGAGCTGAGGGGAAATGCCCTCCCAGGGTGCTCACGGAATGGCCCAGAATCCAAGGGAATCCTTACTGACTGGCACACCTTGAGTACATGGTTTTGAGTAAAAGAATGAAGGAAAAGGGAAGGAGAAAAGTAGGAGGGAGAGAGTTCAGGGTGACAAGGAAAGCAGAGAGATAAAGCAGAGGAACCAGAAAATGCAGTTTCACAAAATTTTGTTTCCTAAGCTGCAAATAATGCAATTTTCATGCATGGAGTAGACACAAGATAAGCAGGCATGAGTCAATTCAGGTGATTTTGAATGCTCTGTGACTCCATATCTAACTCCAGTTTGATATTGGGAGTCTGAATCCTGCCTGCCCATCAAGACTTGCTTTGTCTATTCATCCTGGCTCTGAGCCAGACTAGACACAGTCCTAATCTCAAAACTGTCTGACACCTTCTGTCCAGTTCCACCCTATCCCTCCCATTGATAAGAGAAAAGAAGTCTGCTGGAACCAACACAGTTTCTGGGTTCTCCTTCTTTTGTGAGGAGAGGTCCTTTAACAGGGTAGTCTAGGGGGCAAGGATGGGACTGGCTGTGCTCCAGGGATACCCAGATGGCCATGTAGCAGGAGAGGAGGCCATGCTGGTCATCCAGTAAGGACCATGATGAACAAGGGAATAGTAATTTAATTTTTCTTGCTTACTTCTTGGGAGCTTTTTTTCCTGTCTTCTTTTTGAAGATGGCAGGTTGTATTTTTCTGTCCTCTTTCCTAAAACAGAAAAAAAAATCATCTCTTATGGCCATAAATATTGATCTTCAAGCTTGAAATGTCAATACTTTATAAATAAATTTATGTAAAAAAAGTATTCCATTTTACTTGGAAATAAACAAGGATTGAACAGAGAAGTAATAGATACACCAAATTATCAACATTTAAATATGCCATTTAAAAATAAATACAATATGCCATTTTTTTCACCTTAATAACCAGTTTTTCAAGAGTAGAAGAAAAATAGAGACATCACTATAAGCTACATATAAGAGATTTACTTAGCTAAAACTCAAGGGCAGAAATCATAAAAATAAAAGATGAATAGATTTGACTGTTTAAAAAATAAAAAATCCCCACACTTTAAAAAACATCCTTACAATATTAAGACAAAAAATGAGGAAAATTGCAGTATATGTAAAGTATAGAGGGTTAATATCCTTACTAGATAAAGCAAAAGAGGAATAGAACACTAGGGAAATGGGAGAGAACATAAGTTGAAAATACTCAAAGAGGAAAGACAAATGACACATTTATTTAAAAATTGTCTTTAGACAACTAATCATAAAAAAAGTATTGTTTGGTTTTAAGGATTCCCATCTCCTAAAATGTTTTATCCTACCCAGTGTTGATGAGGACGTAGAAAATGAGCACTTATGAGCACTCATATTATCAAAGAGAATGTAAACAATCCCATTTTCTGAAGAACGATTTGCTGACATAGACAAAATCAAAGATGTGCAGACGCTAACCAAGTAATCTCACACTTAGAAATTAACTCGGAGGAAATTACTGGACATGTGTGCAAAGGTATAAACACACACAAACATGATTTCTATTTTCATATAAGAATTGGAGATAGCCTAACTGTCCATCATATAGGCTATTATTTAAACTAAATTGCTAATTATACAATAATGTGCTATATAACTAAAAGAAAGAAAAACAGATAACATTGATATGCAGATATGTGTATTAAATACACAATGAAAAAACTGTTTATAGACCATATAGTATGAGCTTCTATGTGTATAGAATGAGATAAATGTATGCATATTTCTAAGGTGTAGAAACAAAGTGGGGAAAGCAGATATGAAATAGGAGTTTCACTTCCTGATTAATAACTTCCCGTACAGATTCTGTGGATTTTATTGGGAACATTGTATCACACAGGCCACATTTCGGTGGTTTCACGTTCACAGTGTAAGTCTCAGTTACACAGAGTCCCCTGCGGGATTTGGAGTCTCCCAGCAGCCTTTGCGGTGGCGCTGAGACCCATGCTGCCTTGGCCTTCTGGCATCTCCCTCTTTCACACACTTCTGCAATCAGGGGAAAGGGGTGCAGAGAGCTGCTCAGTACTCTTCTGTGTTTTGACTCAGAAGTGACACTCGTACCAGCTCATTGGCCAGACCCGTGATCACGGCCCTGTCTCCTGCAAGGAGCTGGGAAATGCAGCATCCAAAGCAGAGAGGAGAACTGGAAATAGTGGAGAGCACTAGCAATGCTCACCACCACGGTGTCCGGGGCAGGGACTGCTGATTATTTGGCTTTCTCTGGTCTCGCTTTTCTTTGCTAATCAAGCGATTTGATTTCGAGCTGGATACGGGTCCTTCGAGGAAAAAAAGTGACATTTCCCAGCCTCCTTTGCAGTCAGGTGTAGTCAGGTCACTCGTAGCAAAGAAATGGTAACAGAATGTCTAAAGGCAACCTCCTCCAGGGGAGGAGACATGCCCTCCTAGACCTTGCCTCTTTCCTTTGGTGGGAATGTAAACTCGCTGGCTGGACCCCAGTGAGGGGATGCCACACTCTGAAGTTGGTGGTGCAATGACTAATGAGTTTGAGATTCTAGGTGCATGATGCCAGCCCTGACCGCCTACCTCCACATAGGAGAGAGAAATAAGCTCTCTTATTTCAGCCACTGGTTTTTGAGGGGAAGGGCGGTTCTTGTCCCACACAGCAAGCTAATCCTAATGGCGGCTGAATATTGCTTTTGTAGTGTGGAAAATTTTCTAGGTTGAAAAAAATCAATAAATCACTGTTTTAAAAAGCACAAATCTTTTTATGGTCTAGGATGTCTCTTTTGTAGCGTAGAAGAGTGTTAACAGCCCAAAAAAGTAACATCAAATCCACCCTAACAGAGACCAAATAGGTTCTTTACACTTACGTGTTTCCCCAGATTTTCCCAAAGATGGTTTATTTCCATTATTTGTTGGATCTAGAAAATAATGAGAAAGAAAGTCATTTTAAACAGGCTTTAAACTTTGTGACCACCTCATTTCAGACAATATTGAGTTGGTAAAGTTTTGACAGTATTATTTCTGTCCTTCCTTTATAATGGGGAATGATGGGATCTGAAGAGAGTTCTAGGGGACCAAGGTGCTTGTCCTGTGCCACCATCCTTTACCCACAGGATCTTGGAAAAACCCACTCATCCTTTACATGCCTCAGTCTCCTCATCAGTAAAATTTGAATTCATTATTCAACCTTCTCCAACGATTGTTGTACAAATCCAATGAAATTATCCATGAGAAAATTTGCAATATTACTATATAAGTTAGTGCAATGTGGGAGAAGCTGTTGAAATGATCATTTGTATTTCAAGGTGGTCAAATTTAACTCATTCTGTCTGACAATAAATACTTGTCATTTGAGAGTTGCGTTCTGTGAATTAGTGACACAACGACCACATCGCCAGCAAACAGAAGAATGTTCATATTTGTTTCCCTTCTGAGGATAGTAGTAGCAATGCACAATGGTAGTGATGGTGAGGGCGGATTCACCTCACCGTTTGTCAGCTCATGCCCACAACGATATCAGCTGCAACTGCTCCGTTGGTTATAGTACTACATTTGTGTTTATGATGAGTTGTGCTCTTCCCAATTCTCCCACAAAGGTCGAGTGAGAAACATGGAAATTCAGATCTTAGGAAAAATTTTGTTCCATGACTTTGGCACTTTCAGGAGAGCACCATGAATGTATTTAGAACACATTCAGCAACAGTGGTATTGCCCCAAGGTAGAAAAAATTGATTTGGGGATTGGGGTGGGAAATCTTATTCTTTTTATGTATGACGTATACAGATAGATATTTATTCTTCCTCAAGATAATTATCTATCTAAACATAAATGGATATATAATATATTTGTGGTATTAAAATATAGGTTGTGTTCATGGTTAGGAAAAAGTATCTAAGAGGGCTCCTTGGGGCAATGATAATGGAAAAAGGGCTGAGAAACACTGGTTTAGGATCGAAGAGTTCTGATTTGGGCTTCTGGGGATGGCCCTCTGAGACTTTGCAGTCCCTCCTCTTTACCAGGCAGGATGCTTGGTGGTGCGCTGGGTGGCTCCTGGGGGCTCTTTTCTTCTTTCATTTCTGAAGAGTCATCACTGGTTTCTGAAAAAAGAAAAGACATTTCTTTCAGATCTCAGAAAAAGCCCCTGGAAAGCTCCATAGGAGTCTCCTGAAGTCCCAGGAAAGACCTTTTGCGGTGAAGGCTGGAGGTTCCAGGTCTTGCTTGAAAACCTCCGTAACCCTTCCTGAGAGTGATTCTACCACTGGGTCCACCTGCCACTGTGGGGAGGAGCAGAGCAAGGCTGGGCAGCAGAGCGTCCCCTACCAAGGGAGACGTCTAGTGAGGTGCAGTCGTCTGAGTCCCTGGATCAGAGGCTCAAATTGAAGTTGTGAATCCTTGGGATATCCCAGAAACCCTTTCAGGAGATCTTTGAGGTCAAAATTGGTTCCATACTAAGATGTTCTTTGCCTTTTCACTATGTTGACATGTGCTCACATGGAGCAAAAGTCATGGCAGGTAGGGCTGCTCGTGCCCTAGTACAAATCAAACCAGTGCCCCTAAATCTTATGCAGTCTTCCCTGCCACAGACCATTAAAAATAAAAAAGCCAGTTTCACTTAAGCATGTTAAAAAAAAAAAAAAGAATGTTCTTGATGAACCAGTTAAAATGATGAACTTTAAATTAACTTTATTAAATTTATTAAATTTCTACCCTTGAGTATAAGTATAAGGATTTTTAAAATTTATTTGAGAGAGAGAGTGAGCGGGAAGGAGAGAGAGAGAGAATCTAAAGCAGACTCCCCGCTGAGCACAGAGGTGGATGCGGGGCTGGATCACACGACCGCAAGATCACAACCTGAGCTGCAACCAAGAGTCAAGAGTCGGATGCTTAACCGACTGAGCCACCCAGGCGTCCCTGAGTATACATCTTTTTAATAGTCTATGTGGAAAACTGAGGAGTTCATATAAAACTACATCTTGAAGTTCACTACATCTTGAAGCATGAACCTCTCGAGAAAAATACTTGTGTGATTGAGCTGCAAGCTCACTGTAGAATTCAGTGAACCAGTATTTTCCAAATGTCCAAGATATTATAAAATCCTGCATAAGTAAAAGATCCATTTAAAATACAAGACAGCATAATGCATTGTATTGCAAGAGTATAAAAAGTTAAGTTTTAAAAAAAATTTTAAGTTTTATTTTGTTTAAATTCAATTAATTAACATGTAGTGCATTATTAGTTTCAGAGGTGTATAAGAAGTTAGTTGATGTGGTTTCAGATGCTACATCTCAGCTAACCTTTATGAAACCATCCCTTCTTGACTTTGGGTGCAATATCAGAGATGAACATACATAGTTTTCTCAAAAAACTGTTAAAATACTCCATCTTTTTAAACTACGGATCCTTGTGAAGCTGGATTATCTTCCTGTCCTTCCACCAAAGCAATGTATCCCAATCAATCAAACACAGAAGCAGCTCTACGAATCCGGCTGTCTCTGATTCAGCTAAACATTAAGAGGTTTGTAAAAATGTAAAATGGTGCCAGTCTTCTCACCAATTTTTGTATTTGGAAAATATATTTGTTTTTCATAAAAATATGTTATTTATGTTAACAGGTAGTTGGTATATTACTGTTACTTTTAAATGAATTAACACATAAATATTTTTGAATGATCAGTTTTAATTCCTAATGAAGTACATATAGATAAATATAAACAACAGAAACAAAAGGTCTTTAGGGTCCTCCATAATTTTGAAGAGTGTAAAGACGTCTTGGGACCAAAAAGTTTGAGAGCTGCTGCCTAAGGTCACAGCTGAGGTCAGCTGTGCCGTGTGGACAGAGCTATTTCTGCACAAAATCTCCTCAGGTGCAATAGATCTTTGTTCCCTCTTGTCACACACAGCTCACCAACTTTCTCGGCACTTCTCCCTCCTTCTACTATTACCTTTACACATCCCTCTAATGCTGTGCCTGCTCTGTGAGAGACGCTCCCACACTGAGCATTCAAATGGAAGATTCTGTCACCAGCCTTACCCTCTGGTCCGGAGGTTTGGGCACATTCGGTGCTTGCCTTTTGGACACTTGTCATGACATTTGACTTCCTGGGTGAATCATCCTTCCTTTGAGTTGCCTGATCCACCACTTGGAGCTTCTCTTGGCTTCTGTGCCGAGGTGAGGTTCTCCCTGGGTCAAATAGTGAATAGTCTGTGAATAGTTTTCATTGGGGTGCCCAGTAAAGCTCCTCCTCCCCCTCCCATGCCCCCAGCCCCCACACTTTGAGATCTCTGTGCTCCTGTGCCTTGTTTTTCTTCTGCTATTTCTCTGTAATTATATATTTTTCTTGTGTGCACCTTTCTTCCTCCATTAGACTCACCATCTGCTCTCACTCCTGTACAACCTGTGGCAATTAACCAGACTCCCAGAGCAGTGGAATTTCTTTCCTGGGCCCTATTGTATGACACCTTCATCCTGGAGGTGGCCACATCTGAGTGAAAATGGCTAAGTGATCCGTTTTGGCACAGGAGGAGTTTCCTGAGGGCCCAGGTGTGAGACAGGAGGGATCTGAGGGTCCCTAGGTGCCTCTAGTGGAGAGAGTGCAAGGTATCAAGGAATTGAGGTGCCTCGTGATAGAGTGAAAGTCTGGAACAGAGAGGATTTGCAAGGGGTTGTCAAGGTTAGGGTTCTCTTTCGCACGGTCCTGGATGCCTTCATTTTGCCAAGGACTTATATTTATATCTTTGGATCTGATTTTTTATCGAGTGCCAGAGTGGCATATTGTGGGGATATTAAACTCCCTTGATTTCTCAGTGCTTCTGTAAAAAGCCCTAGCCTCCAGAGACATGGAAATAAATACAGAATAAAGATAGGGAATGCTTACTTACACTTCCCTGGAAACATTTCACTTTTCACATACCATGAGAATGAGATCTGTAGCTAGTAAACTGCTGTCTGATCTTCTCATCTCCTGAGATTGCCAAATGCCTACAGCAGGGCTAGCTTCCTAGGTTAAGTCCCAAAGTACCAGGATTACTGAAGCCCTCCCTCCATAGGTATTTACACATTAAAAGGGATGAAGCCCAGAACTTGGAGACATCCTTAGTAAAAGCTGAAGACACCTGGGCTTTCTCTGCCTCTTGGAAAGAGGCATTTAAATTCCAAAAGATTAGGGTGAGGACTCAGGATTGTTTCAATCTTATCTCAAAGCAGCAAAGGATTTTTTTTGTTTTTTTTTTTCTTCTCCTTTCAGGAGGGCAAGAGGATGACTGTCCTTGTCCCGTCCGGAAACAGAAAATCCATCATTCTCTGTCCCTTGTCTATGGGATATCATCTGCCTCTCAGAAAGATTCCATCAGCTCTCTTCTTGTTGCCTATGGGTCTGCGTGTGGGAGGTAGATGCTGCAATGTTACTCTGGCTGTTGAGCTGGGTGTGAATATCAATGAGGAATTCTTTCCCCTGATCCAGGTGCCTGGGTTCCTGCAGTGGTCATACACATAAAGAATGTGCCTATATGCCTATAGGGCAGACCCTTCACAGTTTTTGACAAAGCACTTACCATGGCACATGGGCATAGACAGCTAGCACAAATCTTGAAATCGGCAGGTCAAAAATTGAAAATTCTAAAATTTCTCCCCCAATTATTTGCATCTTCTCTAAGCAACACATGCCACCATTCACCTGGCCATTCAAGCCAGATACTGAAGAGTGAGCCTTGCTGTCTCTCTCTTCCCCAACTTCCAATTCATCAAGGTCTATCAACTCTACCTCCAAGCTGGTCTTGAACTGGCTCTCCTCTCTCCATCTCCACTGCCAGACCTGAATGCAGAGTTCTATTGACTTACATGACATCTGCCCCACCCCCCGCAAATGGTTGCCCTGCTTCCATTCTTTTCTGTTTCCAATTCATGCTTTACACAACCCCAAAATTGTTCTTGTCAAATGTAAAATGGGATCATGTCACTTCATTGATTAGATCTCTTCAATGTCTCCTCATTTCATTAGAATAAAATTCAACTTCCCACACCTTGACCCACAAGCATGAGCTATCTGCAGCCTCTGACCTCTTCTTATTCTCTCATCTTACCTTTTGGGAGGCTTTTTTTCTGACGTCTCTTTTTTGGAGTTGACCAGATACTTCTTTTTCTTTTCTTTCCTAAACAGAAAGGGTGCAGATCATTTTTCCATGGCCACAAACATAGACCTGCCAACTTTACGTGTCAACAGGTCTCAGCTTGAACTTTCGGTCTTCAAACCATAGTGGTGAGGAGGTCATTGGTGACCTTACTTGATGCTGCTTCATGGAGTAATGAGGGAGAAGATGAGTGACATGAAGAGATGGGGACACTGAGTTTAGCTAAATCATTTCTAGCGGTTTGGTTGTGAAATGGAGGAGAGAGCTATGGCAACAGGTGAGGTGAGCTGAGGATCAAGAGGAAGCTCTTTTTATGAGCTATGATAAACTTGGGCAGTGGCTGAATGCAGATCCTATGACAGGGAGATGCTGAATTCTCAGGAGAAAGAAGGGATCATGGACCCCAACAGGCAAGGTGGAATGATTGCTGTAGAGAGAAAGAGGGAACAAGAGAGGAGGGGACAGATGCAGTTAGAGTTTGCTGGTTGGTAGCAGGAACTGAGGAGATTCCCATCTGATGCCTTTCCATGAAGTAGGAGGAAAAGTAATCTGCTTAAGAAAAAGGAGGTGGTGAGGGGGTAGGCACTTTGAAGAAAAAGCTCAGTATTGGAAAGGATCATTGCAAGAAGTGGAATTGTCATGCAGCGTGGGAGGATCATTGACGCTGGACTCATGAAGACACAGCCCGTGTGCTCTGCCCCGCTGTGTGGCTCTCCCCAGAGGTGTCTGCCTTCAGACACAGTGTGCAGAAAGCAGATAATGGGTCCCTCCAAGACCTGCCAGAGGGTTCTAGGAAAAGACCGAGAGAGGCAAGGCAGATTAAGATATCAGCAAAAAGGTTACTGAAGCCATGGTTTGTGCACTCTAACCTGGTATGAAGGGGCGTGAAGAGAGGCAAAAGATGAACCCGAAAAGAGATAGGCCAGCGGACTGGCCATCCAAGTGAGGTTGAAGGAAAGCTCCAGAGGGAACAAATTGTAAGGAAGAAATCAGGCAGGGATACTTTCAAATTAATTTTTTAAACGATTTTATTTATTTATTTGAGAGAGAGAACACACATGTGTGAGCTGGGGGAGGACCAGAGAGAGAGGGACAAGCAGACTCTGCACTGAGTGTGGAGCCCGACATGGGCCTTGATCCCACAACCCTAAGATCATGCCCTGAGTCAAAATCAAGAGTTGGAGGCTTAACTGACTAAGCCACCCAGGCGCTCCTTGAATTATTTTTTAAGATTGGGCTGGGGAGGAGAGCTCAGAGATTGAACAATGGCTGTAGAAGGAGCAGACTTCAAGGATTAGATGTCAAAAAAGAGAATTCTGAAATTAATTATTGGGAGGTCGAGCCAGGCTTCAATGATGAGAATGCCGATCGGTTGCCTTTGGGTGCAGGAGGCCAAGAATCAGTGCAGAAAAATATCACTGGAAAAGAGCCAAAGAAGGATCTAAGGGGCCTCTTATCCCTGTGTACCTTTAAGGTGTCCAGGATGGTGGCAGGACTTGAACTGACAGAAAAATTCTAAGTCAGCCTTTGAGGTGTGCTGAGGACTTGGAGGCAAATCAAGGATGATAGTGATGAAGAGCGACGGAACTGTTCATTTGAATGGTTAAGCCTTAAAGTAGAGGATGGAAGAGGAAGGGGTTGGCCAGGGATGGGGGGTAGCAAGCAGTGGGCATCTACCCTGCCTTCCACCATGAGTGATAGCAGAGAGTATGCAGCCCTGTCTTAAAAGAAAGCAGTGGGTCCTCTTGGGGGAACCCATTTTCAGTTAAAGAGGGAGGTACAACTAACCCTCTAAGAAGTTGTGGGTAAAGGAGACCTTGATGATTTCAGAGCAGGTGATTGCAATGGGTACATATTTCAATGGCCTTCAATGCCTTCCGGCTTCCCTACAATCTTCATGAAGGCTTTCAAGGAAGATGCAGTGAATGGGAGAAACAAGCTGTAATGAGCATCATAAGAACAATCACATGGTGGATGCTTCTGACCACATAGGATCTGAAAAGCAGAAAGCAGCTCCAAATTCATGCTCCCGACATCTACAGGAGAAAGTCAACCTTTCCTTACCTTTCTTGTTGGGAGGTGTGCTGGATGCCTCCTGGAGCTCTTTGGGGTCATTTGGTTCAGGAGAGTCATCTGTTATCACTAACAAAGGAAAGAGATTTCAGTTCAGAGCTTGGAACAGGCTGAAGGAAAAGTCCTAAGGGAGCTGAGGGCAGAGCTGGAGGGTGCAAAGCGCGTGTCACCCAGGGCGGGGGTCTGCCAGCCCTCGGGCTCCCTGGCTCTGCCTTGATTTGATCAGTCTGTGGTTGGAGTTACCTGTGTGGCCATCCCCGTGAAGCAGGGAACAATTGCCCCACAGAGGAGGGCTCAGTTTGACCCGTTTCGAGAGGCTCCCCTTACATAGTAGAAGAGAGGAACACGGGCTATCAGCCACCCTCACGCAAGGAATGAGGCTGCGAGTAGGGTGAGTGCTGACCTTGACTTCTGGTGGCTTCAATGAAGGGGAATGTCTTCGCCATAGGAAAAATACATGTTATTGCTTAGGGGTCTGTGAATGGATATTTTTGAACCGCTCTCTTTGTCATTATTTCACCTTGAAAAATGGTGAAGGAAGCTAAGTGCCTTATATATTTCTGTGTACAAGGACCAAGAAAGTGGGAGCTAGCCTCGACTTGGCTAGCACGTGTTAATCGCAAATAAATACAAAGGTCTAGTTTTTGCTGCACAAGGAAGACAGAAGGGGCTGGAAGCCATAATAAATCTCAAGTAAGACTGCCAACTTCCCCTTGTTTACATGGTACTATGAGATCAATCTCAAATTTTGGCCTGCTTAAGAATAGGTCATTGAGGCAGATGGCAAGCAGTCATGAGACATTTTAAATAATTTGTTGCATTTCAAATTATTTTAATCCTATCAACTCTTAAAAATTGAAACGATATAGAAATGACTAGGCTTGAAGGTGAAACTTCCCCACAGTCAGGGTGGGGGCTGGGAAAAAGAACCATCCACACCTGGGCCACACAGTGTTTTTGTTTGCTTCGCATTTGGATGGAGCAGTTTTGAGCTTTACCTTATTGCAGGGACCTCAAAGCATGGGTGAGTTACACAGTTCTGCTCTGACTCAGTCCCCTGTCCTTTCCCCAGGGTTCCTGCCACCAGCCTTAGCAGACCTTCTAGTGATGTTTGCAGCACGAAGATGGTGGTCCAGGGTGGTGAGGAGACCCCTGTCTCAAGAAGATCCGAATGGCCTCTCCTCTTGGTAGACATGGAAAGTAAGGCAAGCTAAAGTTGTCTACATCAAAATTACCCGGCATGGGGCCTGGTGGGACATCTCTTGAGCATTTCGTTACCTCTTATCTGGGGGCTCAGGTTGTTACCGGACACTGAGCAGAGGAAGAAGAGGAATTTCAGGTCCCAGGACCAATGAACAGGGACCAGAGGGGGAGGAACAACACCAATCTATTCCAGCCAGTAAAAACAATGGGGCCAACCGAACACCAAGGCCCCGCAAGGGTGGGATAGAGGGGGAGAGTCAGCCATCATTTCCTTTCAACTAGCTGCTTACTAATTTTTTTCTACTTTATTATTATTTTTTAAATTTTAATTCTAATGTAGTTACCATACAGCGTTATATTACTTTCAGGTGTAGGATACAGTGATTCATTACTTACTAATTTAACAAATTATTTCTTTCTTTTGGTAACCTAGAAGATGGAATCTTCCATTGTTATTGGCTTCATGATTATGTTATTTGGATGGTGTGTATTAGAGGAGTGAAGGAAACATTTGGTCCAAATGGGGCCCTTTATGTTCAGTATTGGAGAATCCACGATACCATTTTTGACAGAGCCCGATAATACTCCATGGTTATATTTAATGTAATCAAAGTCCTTAATAATGATGGTTGGGAGAGATAAGAAACACAATTTTGGAAGCTAAATCTTTCAATGTTTTAGCAGATCTTTCAATCAGCAGAGCCTTCAACGTTTTATCATCTTTTCTAATAATTTCAATAACATTACTCTTAGAGTCCAAACTACATAAAAATGAATATGATTGAAAGGCCCCTGTAATCAGAGGGTGAGTGATTGAGTAAGGGTCACAGAGGGATGTATTGCACAAGTTACATGTCAGTTCAGAACACTGTTATTAGTTGGACATCACGGCATCAAACTGGCTGTGGAGACATCCCTGACAAGTAGTCCTGTGCTGAGCTGGGGCATCAATCTGCCTGTTTCTTTTTCTTTGTCACACCCGGTTCTTTTCCCTTAGGCTTCTGTCACAAGCCTCTGGGTTGGCAGGTGCATGTTTGCCCCTCATACCCACTCTGAACTAAACTAAGTCAGCCCCAAGCAATATTACCTTGCACAGTGTCGGGAGGAGTGCCAGGCATCTCTTGTGAGTCTTCTTCACCATTTATTTGGGATGTTAAGTTGTCATTGGGCATTGAAGAGAGGAAGAAAAATCATTACAGGGTACAGAGACAGAGTGTCAGGGAGGAAAGCAAATGGTAAAAACACCCAAGACAGAAGCCCCAATGCCCAGGGCAAGAGTTGGCCTGCTCCAGGGGTGGGGAGCTGGTGTTTGGGCTCTAGGCTTTCCCCAAGGCCCTGGCAGTGCCCATAGTCCTTCTTGGAGAAGGCTGTGTGTGGTAGGTAGGCACATGGGATGGACCAGATTAACAAAAAGGTGGGACCCTGGGCTTCTAGACATGACCACAGGTACCCTCGGCTGGGGAGGCACAGGTGTCGGACAGTCTTCCCCTCACCTGGAGTGATCCTTCCTTCCTGGGTGGTTCTGGGGAGAGCCACGGCAGGGTCAGAAGGGCTGGATGTTTCGCCCGTGATCTCAGCACTGTGCTGTGTGGATGCGCTGGGCTCAGTGACATTGGGAGCATGGGGTGGGTGGCTCTGGGGTGGGGGCAGCAGCAGCAGCGTCTGGACAGAGCGCCCTTCTGCTGCGTTGGCTGGAGTTTCGAGGAGGGTCGGTGCAGCTCTGTTCCATCCTCCGTAGGAATTGACAACTGGGATTGGTGAAGGAATATACATCAACACCCTGGCTACTCAGAATGATTAGGGAATTTCTTTGTCCAAGACTTCCGGAGGGTTGGGGGCATGGAGTGATTCATCCTCCTCCAAGTGTGGAGAACTGATTCATCGCCAGCATCGACTGTTTGTGGCCCCTTTCTATTCTATGTGTTTGATTTGGGCATTAGACCTCTGGTCTAATACTAAAGTCGTCTCACACATAAAGCTGAGTTTGACTTTGTACTCAGGGATTTAATTTTCTTTAGTTTTTCTTTAATTTTGGTTTCAGAATTTAGACAATTTTGTATAGTGTTATAATTTTAATACATGTCCCTGTTTTAATAAATAAACACATCACACCCCCTGTAGCAAATAAGATAAAATGTAAATTCCTTCACATGGTGCATCCTTTCTACTCTGGTTTCTGCTCATTTCTGCAGAATGGGCTTCTGTGCTTCCCTGCCTCACACCCTATGACGGGCCACACCAACCTTCCTCCCCATCCTCAATACTCCAGGCCCTTGGCTTTCTGCATGCGATTCCTTCCATGGCCAGGTTTCTCTTATGATTCTTTTCCATCATTTATTTCAGGAGTTGAGTTGTCTCAACCAGTGAACAGAAAAAGGAATTAAGGTAGGATTTTGAAGGGCCTAGAACAAAAGCACAGATTTGCAGATCCAGAAAGACGCATGAGCTCGGCTAGGTTGGGGGGTACCGCAGTGTGTGGTGCCTCTGGCTCTCAGACTGACTTAGCGTGGCTTCTGAGAACCCAGTCCTCCCTGTGCTGCCCTGATGCTGCCGGGAGCACGGGCTCAAGTGCACTATGCCGGCCAGGAGGGGCGCTTTTCTCTTTCCTTGCCCCTTTAGCTCAAGGAGGCATTTCTCCTTTGGGGGAGGAACTTCTTGCTGTCAACAGTGGTTACCCCACTAACAAAATGTCACAATGCAGTGTGATCTGCTGCTGGTCCTCTTCCTGTTGTTCTCAGCTAAGTGAACCATGCGCTTTGGCCAAACTGTTTGTCCTTAAGCCTAAAATGATCATGTCACCTCTTCCTCTTTCCCTGGCTTCTTCCTTCCCGGCTCTGTCCTTGCTCTTTCTCCTGCTCTTTATTCATCCAGCTCGTACTCGTTCCCAGTGTGCATCACATTCTGCTTCTTTCTTCTACCCTCTCTCTGTCTTCAGCTCCCTCTCCTCTCTCCTCCAGCTTCACACTCTGCCTTCCACCTGTCCTTGTTTAAAAGAGGGATTGAAATCTCAGGCCCTGGTGCTAGGAAACCTAAGTAGGACAGCTGGCTCTGCTCTTAGCAGACAAGTAACTTTGAGAAAGTTATTCTGAGCTTTAATTTCTTCGTATGTCAGATGGGGATAATAACGACTTCACAGGATTGTTTTAAAGATGATATGAGATAATCATACAAAGAAAGTGCTTGGGACGATGCCTGGTACATAGTAAGTACTAAAAAAAAAAAAAAGATACTTATTGCCCATCCGTATTCATTTCTTTTCCCCTCTGGTTCTCCTTACCCTTCTGCCAGACTGAGTCTCTGCAACCGCATTTCCCTAGAGACTGTCCAGTGGGGTACACTGGACAACTTTCCCCCCACTTCAGAGAATAGGCAGAGAATAGGACAGAAATGTGTCCTCTAGAAATTCATCTTAGAGAGCTGGAGCCAGAGGAGCTCGTCCTGGCACACTGGTGAGTACACTCCCTATCTCCCCAGAGAACCCGGCACTCAAGTGCATAATTCCACGGGGCTGAAAGCCAACCCAAACTTTGAGGGTAGCAGCTTCTGGCATGCTTTTATAGCCCAAGGATATTCAAGAAGCCTCGTACCACTTCTGAAGCCCTTGAGAATCATCGTCAGGTTGGGGTATTCACGCAGGTTAATTCGGCTGAACAGCATCTCCAGAAATGACAGATTGGAGGTCTTTTCCAGGTGGGTGAGGATGTTGTACACCACTCTGGGTACAGGGACATGATTTCTACAAGCTTCCATGGATTCCTTAAAAAATGGAATCGAGGATTATTATAAAATGGAATGGACGTTTATTATACATTTGTGGTTTTCTAAGTCATAGGAATGGTATTTTGTTCTGTTAAGAAGGAATTTAACACAAATGTACAAACTCTAACGTAGAAAAGTCACAGTTCCACGTGTTTACTTTTAGAACTTCACATATATTTGGATTGTTAGTCATAGGAATAAATAACTTAGCCTTCTTTAAAATAAGTCTGCTTTGTGAACCTTATTTTAGGTACATTTGAAGGAAGAGAGAAATTTTAGGGAAGGAAAAGGGGAGTCAAAGGTTTTTACTGTGTAATTAATTCTCTAAGGCTCTGGGCAGAACTCTGTGGCAATGGGCCAAGGAGTTGGTCACAAGTGGCAATTCTGCAATTGCTTGTTAGCCTCTGCTCTCTCTCTCTCGGACTTGGGATGGCCTGAATGGGTTCTAGCCACAGGGAAATCATCCAGCGAACTCCTCTTCATGAAAGGCTGGCCGAAAAGAGAAACATGGCAGGAGAGAATTGACTGCATAACACTTCCTGAGCACCTACTAGGCTAGTCCTTGCGTACGTAGCAATGGATAAGATCACCATGGTGTTACCCATATTGAAGGAGGGACTCTGTCAGGTGCAGAAGATAGGCATTAAATAATAAACAAATTAAAGAAATGCCCAGTTGCTATGGAGAGAAGTGTTATGAAAGGAAAGCATAGATTTCTCTGAGAAATCAGTTAGATGAGTGGGTTAAGGAAGCCTCTCTGAGTGGTGACATCTGGGCTGTGACGTGAAGAGGGATTGGAGCCAACCAGGCCGAGACTGGGAGAAGATCGTTCAACCACTGCTGCGCTTCTCTGGGCCTGGGACTCAAAAAATGCATTAAAACCCCCAAAATTATAAAAGAATGCCATTTTTGTCCACACAGCCATATCTTCCAGTGCCTGCCTTGCTTCACATCTGAATGGACTGTGTGCAACAAATTCTTGGGAATTGGGAGTGTACCCTTAGTGGGTTGAATGGTGTCACCCCCCCAAAAAGATATGTCCACTTGACCCCTGTGAATGTGACCTCATTTGGAAAAAGGGGACATTGGAAAAATTACATTTGCAGATGTAATTAAGTTAGGCTCTTGAGATGCCATTACCCTGGATTAAGGTGGGCTCTAAATCCCAATGACCAGTGTCCTTATAAAAGAAGAGAAGGAGAAAAGACAAGGAAAGGAAAAGGTGATGTCGAGATTGATGTGGAGATTGAAACAGCGATCGTAAGTGATTTTTCTACAAGCCCAGGACCACAAAGTGTTGCTGGTACCACCAGAAGTTAGGAGAGTCAGGGAACGGATTCTCCCTCAGAGCCTCGAGAAGGAACCTTGATTTTGTACTTCTGGCTTTGAAAACTGTGAGACAATACATTTCTCTTGTTTTAAGCCACTGGGGTTGAGGTGATTTGTATGGCAGCCCCTGTGACCCCGTCTTCCCCTGAAAATGAACCTTTGGGACTAGGCCTTCCGAGCTCCAGAAGCCCTCGGGCTTGGGGTGTGAAACTTCAGTGATGGGACTTCTTGGTGGGGGCTGGGCTGCCATGGGAAAGTGGGCAGCGCGACTCACCCGGTATATTGTCTCTGTGATGAAGGAGCTGTCTCGGAGGCCTTCGAGGAAGGGAAATGGCTTGTATATGGCATAAGCAATCTCCAGCTTCTGGTATACGAAGTGCTGGAGAAGAGCCTCTTCTAAGGCCCTGGTCATGGTGAACATCCTATGAAAGAGGCATGAGAGGAGAGGAAAGACTCCAGGAACTCGGGGAGCTGCTCTTTGCGCTCAGTGGGCATCTTCAGACCAGCATCCTGGTACCAAAGGTAGTAGCCCTTGGTAGTCTGCAAAGCAACTCCTGCCTCAAAGCGTCGTGGGCATAAGAGGCAATGACCATGCCCAGTGACCATGGAGGCAGAAAGTAACCTAAAAGATGATGCTGAAATCCCAAAGGGGCTGCTGGTAAACGTAAGACAGATAGTCAAAATAGCTAGTATCTATTGAGTACTTCCTATGTGCCGGGCTTTGTTCTAAGGGTTTCACATGCAACAACTTATTTGATCTTCACAAAACGCTTGCAAGAGGGTTACTATGATTTTACCCATTATATTGTGAAGGACCCCGAGACATAGAGTTGTTTACTAAGTTGCCCCAAATCGCACGACTTGAAAGTGGTAGAGGTAAACAAATTCCAACTTTCTGCTTCTAGGTTTATGGTCCTAAGTTCTATGGTCCATGGCTATGTTGAACGGAGTTAAGATTGCCTGGGCGGCAGCTTAACGCAAACATTAGCAAAGCTTGTAAAAAGGGACCACCCAATAATGAGTAGAAAGATGAAAACCTGATAATATTTAGAAAATTTAGTAACCCACCTACAATCTTTGACACACAAGCAGGCCAAACATAAGCAGACATGAAAGATGTGAAAGACATGATTAGTAAAGGCAAAGTAACTAATTTATTATATGTATCAATTTCATATCTCAGAAAAGACATGCACCTTTCCCATGCCCATGCAACATTTATAAAAATTAACCACTGATAGACCAGGAGAAAATATCCATGTTATAATAGGCAGAAAACACACAGATAACATTCCTGACAAATTGTCAAGAAAAGAGTACTAACAAAAAGTTCAACCATCCAGAGATATTTTTTTTAAACAAAACAGAGATCCCATCTTTCCAATTTCATTTTGTGTATGACTGAAAATTAAACTATAAGTAATGACTGTTTCCAGGATTAATCCCAGTGGTAGACTGAGCAGCCCTGCTCTCTCTACTCATTCCCACATCCTTTAAGTTTGACAGAAAAAAAGAAACATATTGTAAAAATAGAATAATCCATAATAGTACTGGAAAAGAAAAGATGTCATAAGAGGTCCATAATCGTGAAGAAATCCTGGAAGATTGAGAACAGGTGGAAGGGAAATCTAGCATCCATGATATAGACAGAATCCATCATACGGGGAAGAATACTGCCAAGATCAGCACAGAGCCAGAGAAAGCCAGTATGAACAGGTGGTAAGAAGAGCAAGTGGCCGTGGGGTTACATTTAGGATGATTAATTATACTACAGCATTCAGGACATAATATCCACCAGGTTCCTTATCCTTCATCTGTTATAATTCTCAAGAATGAAAGCAAGGCACAGAGAGGTTAAGTAACTAGCCCAAGGTTGGCAAAGCAGAGCTTGTCTGACTAAAGCCCCATTTTTCACTAGTGCATGATATTGGGTCTCATATGCTAGTGTTCAGACTTTTATCATGTAAAAGGAGTCTTAAAAATGAATAAACAAAAGACAAACATCCATGTAGAAAAAAAAGCAAAACACAGATAGGCAATTAAGTCAAGTGTGCAATAAATATATAGAAAACATGGCAATTCACTAGTAGTTGGGACAGTACAAAAGAAGACAACTTAATAATGTTTGCCTATCAAAATGTTCCACATAGAGAATAAAAGCAATAATCACAGATGCTTCTGGTGAAAATGTAAAAAGGTCCAAATGTTCTGGAGGCTAATTTAGCAATCAGGGTCAGATGCTCTAAAGTATATATTCCCTTGAGTCCCAAATTCCACTTCCAGGAATTTATTTCAAGGAAGCAATCATAAATGTGCTTCAAAATATATATATAAAAAGTTCATGAAACACTGGAGAGGAAATTAAATGTTCTCTCCTTATTGTCTCTTTCCCACCAACTACCTCTAGTCACTTGCACAATGGATAATAAATGAGTTGCCCATTTGGGGCAGAGTGCAAATCACAAAGCACAGAAGAGAAGAGTAGAAAGCAAATCCTGGTTCCATCCACAACAACAGGCTAGAATTTAGGGAAAGAAGAATTGAGCTGTGTCTCTGCTCCCCCACCACTCCCACGTCTGTCCCCCTTTTTTGGAGTCTCTGGTTAAATCCCACATTGCTCTCTATCTTTGGAAGACAATATTTTACAAAGAGAGAGGCTCACAATTTCAATAGTTGGGTTCCACCCTGTAGCTGCTGCCAGGAAATCAGCTATCAGAGCCCAATCACCAAAAAGAAAGAATAAAGCAGCTGAGACAAAAACCCACCTGGATGCTCGGTCAGCCACCTGCTCCTGCCCCTTTCCCGGTCCAGGGGCCGGGCCAGGGATCACTCCCGGAAGACTGAGAGAACAGCAGGGAGATGCCAGTGGGTGAAACAGGAAGTCTGTGCTTTGCCACATGCAGAGAGGGCCAGGCTTCCGGAGAAAAGAAAAGTGAAAGTATTTGGAGCAGATCGTGCAGGAAGCTGAAGACAGTGCCTGCTGCCTCCCTCCATCTCCATCTCCGTCCAGACACTTGTGAGGTTCCCGGGGCATTTGGGGGAGGTGGAGGGTGGTGCCTTCTGGACCAGCCTGGGGAGGGGTGTGCAGAGGGGAGGAGGCAGAGGGGTCCAGCCCCAGGGGCCACGGGAGGGAAATGGGAATCTACCATCTATATACTTCCCTACCCACTTCTATTTCCCCAGGACTTGTTCTTCTTCTGTACTTTTGGGGGGATGAAAATGTTCCCACACTGAAGTGGGGTGATGGTTATACAACTGAATAAATTTACTAGAAATCATCAAACTTTAAAAAACAAACAAAAACCAAAGGGGAGGGGAGGTGACTCAGAAATGCCCATAATTTGTCAGGATAAAATTATTGCCTAAGAAAGTTGAGATAAAAGGGAACCTGAATATAATCTGAAATCACGTAGAGGTAGGCAGATCTCTGGGCAGGAAAGTGATCAGGGGCCAGGCAGGCATTTGGGAGCCGGGGATGTGAGGAAGTCAGGTCTAAGGCAGAGCTGGGGCCAGGAGAAGACTCGAGAACAGCCACTTGCAGGATACCCCCTCCACACACCCTTTAAAAATTCCTTATGTACATTGGCATGGAAGGTCTGTGAGAACACAGAAATCCGTTTAACGTTATTTAAATCAGTAATTCTCAAATGTGTTCTACCCATGAGTTCCCCTTACCGGGACACCCATGCTTTTTCCTTAGGGAAAAAAAAGATAGGAGAAAGGATTCTGGGGTCTAAGAAGCCTTGAAGCCAAGGCTCACGTGCTCAAGGGAGAGCCCTTCCATGCTTGCTATGGAGGCACCAGGACACCTGAGTATTTTCTAGAGCAACAGGCTCAGCCCTGGTGTGGGAAGGTCACCACTGTAAGAATGACAGACGCAGAGGAGCCTCAGGAAGCCCATGGTAATGGAGGGAGGCCCAGGACACAAAGTGACACTCCCAGCCGAGGAGAGGGTTCTGTGGTGCTCGGTAGCACACAGCACTGTGCGGTGCAGGGACGTGGGCAGCGAGAGGGATTCAGACCATTTTGTACAATTGTCACACTTCATTTACCTGAAGCCCTCCACTTACCCTGGAAGACCCCCTCATGGACACTGGACATCCCAGCCTGGAACCAAGAATCTCCTCCTTTAGACCTGCCCAAAGATAGATTAGGCAAAGACACCGAAAAAAAAAAAAAAAAAAAGCAGGGGTGGAAACATAATGCCAGATTGGACAGAAATGATTAAACTAGAAAAAGATGTGAATAAAGATAAAAGATGTTTCTATCTCAGCCACGCATGCTTGAGAATACAGTAATAATGGGAAAACTTCCGCTGTTTATTTCAATGACACATGTACTGAGAATTTACTAAAATTAGGTATAATTCCTTTTTAGCTCAATTTTATTGAGGTATAAAATGCATTCATCTTAAAGTGTACATTTAACTCGATGAGTTTTAACAAATGTAATCATAATTACAGTTAAGATATAGATCATTTCCATCATTCCAGAAAGTTCCCTCGTACCCTTTGCAGATAGCCTCCTCCCCAACCCCAGCATCAGGCAACCATGATGTGCCTCCTTTCTTGTTACTGGTATCAAAGTTTTACATAAATGAAAACATACAGTAGGTGCATTTTGATGTGTGGCTTCTTGGGGTCGTCATAATGCTCTTGAGATTCACCTCTGTTGTTGAGGGTCAATAATTTATTCCTCTTTAGCCGGTGTGCTGGCCAGCTCTTGTTCAACCTGTCCAATCACCATGATGTCACCAATGTAATTGATCAGTGTGATGTTCTATGGGATGTCCAGGTGATCCAGATCTCTACAGACTATATTATGACAAAGGGCAGGTAAGTTAATATAACCCCAAGACAAGACTGTAAATGAATGTGCCTATCTGTCATGCAGGAACTAAAACTCTTTCTGATCCTCCTTTCCAACGGAAAGAACACATTTGCCAAATCAATGGCCACATACCGTGTATGTGAGGTCCGTGGAATGACCTGGGCTGGGAGTCTTACTGCCCAGACTGCTTATTTTCTTATCCCAGTCTTTGGCCATCCTGTAAATTCTGAGATTTTTCTGCCTGAGTTAGTCAGTGTCAGTTTTGATCACTTAAACCCCAAAACTTCAACTGAATAAAAGTTGGTACCAGAGAATGAATTGTGGGCAATGAATCTGCACAGAAATATGCTCAAACTGAGTTTGGTTATCTGACCTACCTGCGCATAAACGTAGTGGACATCCCATTCGTGTTCAAAGATGGGAGTTTGGTAGACTTTGGCAAACAGGGGCAAAGTAACACATTAACTTCTAGCACTGGATTGTGATTAGGACTCTACATTTCACTCCCAGATTCCAAGTGCCAGATCTTAGCACACTTAGCAAAATGGGGAGGAATTTTCCAGGTAGAAAGAAAGCATTGACTGGCCTTCAGAGATTCCCACCTCCTTGGCCTAAATCTGGGTGGGAAAACAGAGACAGGACGGAGGCCAGAATCTTCTTATCCCATGGGTCATACGGAAGAAAAAGAAAAAGAAAACAACTCTGCCCCTGTGTTAGGAACCAGCGACTATCTGATGGGCATAGATGGTCTTGGTCCAGGATCTGTTATCTCAGGGAGATTGGTTCTCTAGCGAACATAGAGAAAAACAAGACATGTGGGAGATACAAGCTAAAATTCCAACCTATTGTTATCTGGGCTAATGCATGATATTGCAAACTAGGGCTTTCTTGTAAACTTGACGGGACTTCCCCTGAGGAGCGCCAAAGACCTTGTGCTTCCAAGCAAAAGAAGCTGGCACATTTATGTCATTGTCCCGCTGAGTGGTGGCCTGGGTCTGCCTGCTGCTTAAGGGCAGGAAGAGGAGAGAGAGAGGAGACACCACAGCAGGTTCTTGTAGTCTGTGCCAGGCCTCATCCGGGCCACTGTGCCCCATGAAGAGGACAGCCATGCCCAACAGAGGCTCAGCTTCACAGCCCATTTGCCCCACAACGTGAGAGAGGGAGAGACAAAGGACGGGCAGTGGGTGGTGACAGGCAGTCCCAGGTGTGCGAAGCACCTGGTAGACACGCAGACCCCACCCACTGGGAAGATGTCCTCATCAATATCCCCAAATCTGGAATCTGTCCCAGCCAGATGGATGTTCACTTCTTTGGAGGAAAGAAAGAGCAGAAGTGGGCAGAAGGGTAGAAATCTCTGGCCCTCTATACTTGGCAAACAGATTTGTGCAAATTTCTAGCACATCTATAATGAGCCAGACGAAGCAGGATTCGGTGGAATATACTTTGGAAACATCCTGCTTTGCTTCTGGTTCCCCAGACCTCGCCTGCTTTGGCCATTGCTCTGAGCGAGGCCCTGGATTCTGCAGATGCCCTGGCTCTCATTTGCCTGTCTTGGATCCACTGTCCTACCTGGATTTCTAGTCCTCCAGTTTTGTTTATTTTATTTGCGCTTTGCTCCCGTTTCTTTTTCTTCCAACTTTATGCTGATACGGTGTGTTCTTGTAAGTTGCTTTAAACCCTTTACAGAATGAAGGCCGGCTATGTGTGAAAAAAATTCTGTACAAACATAAATGTGATGTACTTGGTAGCTAGCATCCCATTGTCCTTTGAGGTCTAGGTAATGTCAGTTCCAAACCCTTTCCCCATCCCGTGGGAAGCCTGTCACCCTGATTTCAGGGACGAGTTGAAGCTCAGTTTTTTCTAATTACTCTGGCTGCATTTGTAAAGTGCCCATGAATTCAAGAAAACTTAGAATGGCACACCAAGCCTCTCTGGTCAAACTTGGCACTTCCCTCGGGTTTCAGGAGTGGGGAGTTTTCTCAGGCCTTTGGCTGCTTTCCAGCAATTTGAGGAACATCTTCCCCACCTCATAAGGCTGAGTATTTCAGCTCTGCTCAGCCCTGTGTCCAGTCCAGGCTGGGTACTGAGCCTGGCCGGATCTGAAATGTCTGGCTTTCCTTCTTTCCTTCTCACGACCACCTGAGCAGAGAGAGGCGGGGCAAACCTGGGGTTCACTTCCTGCCCCCCTACACTCTGCCCCCTCACCGCGAGGCAACCTGGATCCATTTGAGTGAAATCAACCTTTCCGCACTCTTTCCTTTGCACGAACAGTGACTTGTCTGCCGTGGAGACTGAGGTGGCCCTGCTCCTCCTCCCCGGGGCTGAGAACCGCCTGAGAGATTGGGCACAGGGCAACCTCGTGTTGGTACAACCACACCATGCTGTTCAGCGATTTCACTTTTACCCTTCGGGTGCCACACAGGACACATCGACCAATTGGTAGACTTTCACCTCAGAGCTCCGGGGAGGCACAAAGGCAGTAAACGTCTGCTCAAGGTTGACCCTGGGCCAGCTCCACGACCCCGTGGGGCTGGCAGTGGTAGATGGTGGGTGGAGGCAGCCAGCTCAGCCCCAGGTCGGTCCTCACCTCCTGTCCTTGATCCCCAGGTTGGCGTCTACGCTGGTTATTTCGGTCTTCCCAGACTCATTCCACAGGTATATGACAGAACAAGATTACACATAAATAAATACTGGGGAAATCAGATTTCTTAAATCACAGCAGATTAGCAGCCAGGGAAACTTGGAGCCATGTTGACTCGCGTCATTTTCTTATTTCCTTGCAAAAGCCATGCAGATGGACTGGCATGGGCAGAACTCCCTGGTTCTCTCGAGGCCTCGCTGCAGGGTTCCATGATTCCCAGGCCCTACGAATCCTCTCATTCCCCTCATGCCTCCTTTCTCCCTACGCCAGCCCCCAAAAGACAACTCTGCCCAGAAAAGTTTCTTTTAGAAAAAGTAACGTTGAAATTGGATGCCTGTTGTCAAACTTCTGGTTTCTGGGCAGCTGGGGGTTAGTTCTGCTCAGAGCTCATCTAAGCAGGGCATCTGAACACCACCGAGTTACAGG